TGCCATTACTGTCAGTAATTTTACTGTCAGTAGCGGAAAAGGACCGTTCCGTAATTTATTCAGTACTGACGCACATTGAAATTGGAACGCGCCTCAGTAGCAGCAGAAAGTGACAATGGTTACGCAAGGTTATGATTTGTGATTTACTGACAATTTACAAACTTTACTTTCGGCACAGCAGAGAACATAAATAAAAAATAAATATAACAGTTATAAGAAATATAATGTTTGGTTTATGGCATAGAAATATGGAAAATTTAATGTTATCGTCGTCCGCGTCGAAAAATGTACCTATATAGGAATAGGAAATATAAAATTTCACTGAAACCACAACAATAAGCCAAATACCAAAAATTACTCTTAAATTCGTCCGCTGAATACAAATATATAACATTTTCTAGGTACTACCTATAGGTAGTACTATAGTAGGTAGTTTTATATTCTGGGTCTTCGTATGCGTACTCCCCGCCGACCTGCCTTCGTCACGGCTGCTTGTACTTTCAAGTAATATTTTATCAATACATATTGAAATAATTAGTCCTATAGGTATTCACCAAATACCATTATATGATATAATTTATATCCTTCACTTTATTTGACAGCTATTTTTTGTTTAAAAGTTTGGTTATGTGTTTTACTGGAGCCACAGCACCTCTCTGTCCCCAGTTGTTTCAGTAAAATTAATCTGCCGTACATTTATAAAAGGGTAGTATTTACCACTGAGCTCAGTAACTGAAAGTGGATTTCGGAATGCGTTTTCAGTACCGACAGTACTGACAGTAAATTACGGAACATAGCCCAATACGAAAAATCCAAATATCATTTTCACTGACATTTTTATCAAAGATTAAAATGTGGGAAATCATCCTTTAGTTAAACTTTACAGTTGTTTACAGAGCAAATTTTGCACCATGGAAATATTAAACCAATCTTTTTTATACTTTTACTCACGAATTTTCCTATCCACATGTATCGAGTTTTTATTGGAGGCACTTGATGTGCAACAAATGTCAATACAAATAACATAGCCTCACTTTCAATTCTCTACGATAAAAATTATAAAGAGACAAAACTCAAAAATACGAAATAACAAAAATGAGAGAATGAATATCTTAATCTATAGAGTGTTAAAATATTGTCTTTATAATTTATTAACAATTTTTCTCGTTTTCGTTCTGATAATTATCGATATCTGATATATCAGAATTATAATTTTGCTTTGCAATTTTCACAAAATACTTTTTTTTAAAGGCAATTTCTTTGACAAAATGTTTGCCCGATATTTAATAGTAAAACAATGGTAAATAGTAAAGCAAAATAATTTTGCTGAAACAAGAAATAGCAGATAAAGCTTTATTTTGTATTTATCACTTTTTTCTTTGTCCAATCCAAATGACAAGTTACTAACTTTTCCATCAAAGAGTATATTCTTCCTTAAAAAAAAATAGATTATATTAAATTTACATAACAAAATTTATAATAGCTCATTCTCAGTCATCCCAGCAAACCAGGCTGTTCCATTTACATAGCCATACCTAACAAAGAACATTGCAATATCAAATTAATTATGCAACATATTAGTTCTCTTATTTTGTAACATAATTATAATAAAACATAATAATATAACATTTATATAAATATGTTCTTCCATTTTAATATCCCCAGTATGCATCAGCTCTATAACAATGTTGTATATCTACATTGAAACAATGATACATCAATAATTTATAGTTATGTTTTATAGTATCCATATAACCTTATTATATCGTAATGTCTACAGGCTGTAGACTACAGCGCCACCGGCGACGTTTTTATAATTTTATTTCTTGTTTTATTGTTTTTATAGACACAAAGATGTCGCCACCAGTGTTTATTCCGCACATACTTCCACACATGTACCTTGTTTCCTTTTTTTGAGGGTAAATTTATCTATTTTCCGTATGATCTTACCTAATGCGCATAATATGTTCATAAGTGGGAGATTTAAAAAATATATACCATAGACATATCAATACGTCCAGGAATGATACGAATTGTTAACTAAATCAAATTTAGGTTATATCAAATTTTTCTAAGTCATTTGCTTACATAAATTTCTGTGGTTTAGATTTATAAAAAGCAAAAAGTGGCATAACATACCTATTATGTAAAAGCCACAAACATCTCGTAAAACAAATGGAAACAATGCCAAAACAATTTCTATATTGGCAAATTCTTGCTGTTATAAACATGTCATTTAATTTAAGTGGCGGCTGGTGGATTTTTGGCACACCCATATCTCAGTTATAAGACATGGGACCCACATCAAATTTATATAAGTTTATAATGACACTTTACACAATTTACATTGAAGTTTTCGAAAAAAAGTTAGTTTTTAAGTGTGCCATCCTCCTGCCCCCCCATATTAAGATAATTAAAATTAAAGTGGTACAATATTTAATTCACTGCTTTTTTCAATAAATTTCAAATTTTATTAAAAAAATTCAAGTATTAAAGATTTTATACCATTTCTATTTATTTTTAATTTGGTAAAAGAAATAATAAAAATTTAAAATGGTATAAAACCTGTAATTCTTGAGTTTTTTAAATAAAATTTGAAATTTGTCGATAAATAAGATAAGATAAGATAAGATAAGATAATTTATTTAGTGCTAGTATACATATAGTATTTACACACGTCAAAGTAGTAGTATAAAAAAATAACAAATTACAAATATTAAAGTTAAATTTTAAAACATCACGAAACACTTTAAAGAACAGGAAAAGTTCATACATATGATGCAAGAACTCACCTACAAATCTCAAACGTCACAATCCAAGTACTCCTGGGTTGTGTAGAATGCATTTAAAATTAAAAATGACTTAAACAGATACTTAAAACGATCAATAGGAAGACTTCGAAAGTGAGTTGGCAGTTTATTAAAAAATTTAAAACAGTGATAGTTCAGACCATTCTGCGATTTCTTCAGTCTGTAAAAATTTATACGGGTATTATCTTTGGCTCGAGTATTGTAGTCATGGACATCACTACCTTTAGTGGATCCGTCATAAACGTTATAAGCGTACAAAACACAGCGATAAACATAGAGACATGGCAAGGTAAGTATTTCTAAATTCCTAAATGCCTCCCTACACTCATCTCTGTATCCTAGACCCCAAACAATCCTGACAGCTCTCCTTTGGATGCGAAAAATTCTTTTACTGTCTGTACAATTTCCCCAAATGATAATACCGTAGTTTAAAATTGAATCAATCAAGGCAAAATAAGCTGTTCTTAAAACAGGGATAGATACAGTGCCTTGTAAATTTCTGAGGCAGAAAACTTGCCTAGAAAGTTTGGTTGCGAGCATGTCAGTGTGTGGTTTCCAAGTTAGTACTGGATCCATAACCAAGCCCAAAAATCTTGTACTTACTGCACCCTGAAAACCTTGCTTATTTCTTAAGAAAAACAACATTTTTTCAGTCTTTGACTCATTAAGTGACAAACCATTACAAGAGAACCAGTCAGCAGCAGTCGATTGTGCCGACACACCCAATCTTATTACGTTTTCTAAAATTTTATGTTTAACTGTGATAGTCGTATCATCAGCAAAATGTATGCATTCAGCGTTAATGTAATTTGCAAAATCGTTGATGTATATTAAAAATAACAAGGGTCCCAAAATCGAACCCTGAGGTACACCTATTGTTATAATTTTTTGCTTTGATAGTTTACCGTTTACCATTACCAATTGAGATCTATTACTAAGATAAGATTTCAGGAAAAATAATTACTAAAAGTATCTGGATCTAGTGATATATTGTTAGAGTTTGTTTTTTTATTTCTTTTTTCATTTATTAAAATCCAACTAGATTTAGAAAAGTTATTTGACTGTCTAAGAAAAATGTCATTTGCACTATGTTTTGCTTGTTTGATAGCTAAATTATAATTGAAACGGTGCCTGTTTCTTAAGTATTTTAAATTATCAGTTCTATAAATATTATATAGTTCATTTATCATTTTTAAATTTTCCCTCATTTCACGGAGTTCCGGCGTGAACCACCTGATACCCGCATCACCACATTTACTATTTATCTTAATTACTGGAAATGAAATTTTATAAGCATCGATTAGATTTTCAATAAAAGTTTCACAGGACTTGTTTAAATTTAAATTGTCTATGTAGTTCCAGTTTAAGTTGTTTAATATATTATGGAAAATATTTAGACCTTTTTTAGTGATAGGTCTACAAACATTCAAATTGAAACCATTTTTACACTGACCTGGTATTTCAACAGTTAGACTTTGCGCAAAATGGTCTGAAAATTCCATTTTTAATATCTCACTTTCATAATTTTCTAAAGAAAAATTCAAAAAGATATTATCCAAACAATTTCTTGCTCGGGTTGATCCAAAAACTGTCTGGTCATATCCATGAGCTCTCATAACGTCGAGAAAAAGATTTGTTCTTGCATCTAACAGATTAAAATGACAATTAAAATCTCCACATATAACAATGTTATTAAAACCACCTAAAAATAAATTACTTAAAGCACTTTCTATAACATCAATAAAAATATCAAAATTTTTATCAGGCCTATAGACACACAACACAACAATATTTTTTAAAACAAAATGAACTGCAGTAATTTCACACTGATTTTCAACACTTAAATCTTCAATATTGGCTAGTTTCACATAGTCATTAGTTTTGCTTAAAATCATTACTCCTCCCCTAGTTATGGTAGGTCGAGTATACATAGCTGCAGTATACCACCCATTTAGACTAAAAACAGGTGCCTCAATAGGAGTAAGCCAATGTTCACTTATGCAGAGAACATCAAAATTTTTATCACTTAAAAAAGCATCAATTTCATGTACTTTGTTTCTAATGCATTGTACATTTTGGTGAAACAGTTTAAATAAATTTACCTTATTATTTCTGTTGTTTTTGACATCACCTGGTAATAATGATGACAGGGACTTTTTATTAACTATTTTCCCATTTGGGTTATAGTTTTTACAGTTCAGATTCCCTTCCCAGCCTTCGAAAGGTATATTTTCTAACAAGAAGATTTTGTGGCCAAACTTCAGGTTTCATGACCGCTTCCAACAGGTTAAAATCAAAACTTATTTTAAAAGATTTGTTTTTACTCGTGTTGCTTTCATGTTTTTTTAACTCTTCAACTTCAAACGTATCCAAAGGAAACCTTTTCTTTAGATAATTTTTCAGTTTTTCTTCATTTGTATTAGGCTGTGCACGGCCAATATAGAGCCAAGCCCTTTTTGCTGCTGCTTGGAATTCGTCCTCTTCTTCACTTTTAGCAGAACCTTTTATGATATTTGTAACTTTTTGTTTATCTTTAGAGTCGTTTTTATTTTTGACATTGACATTCTTGACATTTATGAGCTCTTCTTCTTCTGTATCCTTTCCGATTTTTGCAGTGTTGCCGGATGTACTTGGTGCATTTGAACTACTCTTCGCTTTCTCTCGAATTTTTTGAACATTGGATGTGGAAGAAGACTGCAATGCCTTCTTAACCTCACTTTTTGTATTTTCCTGTGAGATAAGGTGTTTTATTACCTGTGATTGTTCTTGAACCCTATCTTCCAGATGTTTCAACATTTTGGAAAAAATAGAGCCACTTTCTTCCCATTTTGCAGGTATATTTGATTCAAGGTTACTGACCTCGGCATCCTGCGGGGCTTTAAAGTGTAGATCTAGACTTTCCTTTAACTTTATAAGCATACCATCAGTCAATCCCGTTGCACTTTCCATCGTGACCGACTTGTTGATAATAATGGATATTAGTTCCTCCTTTGTTAGCCTTTTTAGTACAGAACTCAAGTAAGACGCATCTACGTTCGCCATCTTTTTTGAAACTTCAGTGAATTAAATATTGTACCACTTTAATTTTAATTATCTTAATTTGGGGGGGAGGAGGCTTTCACTTCCCCTACTTTAACCCTACGAAAAGAAAACAGTCTCGGTTAGAAATGTTTGGTATATGTGTGGAAGTATATGTTATTCCGTCATCCAGTGATAGAATAATTCATTCTTTAACACTTTAAGGAATATGTACCTAATTCTACATTAAAACGTGATATTAGAACGGCTATATTTCGTAATAGGAGTGGAAAAAATTATTACTACCATGTTTGCTACTTAGGTATACCTACTTAAGTACCAACTAGAATACTAAAGTAGCCAAGACAGATGGTTTTGTGATAAAACGTGTGTTTAATTACAAAACGCTCCATCTTGGTCAGTAGAAATGTAACTCAAAATGTCAAAAAATTATTATGGACCCTTTTAATAATTAAATTAATATTTTTTTTTTTTGAGAAACAAAATTATTGTCATTACCTATTTAAAGATTTTATTTAAAAAACATTCTGGAGCAAAAAAATACTAGTTTTATTTTATCTTTTACACATTTCACCAATTGGTACTCTGACATGCCCATCCTTATCCTAAAATAAAAAAAAACGTAAAATGACTTATAAATTTAAAAATACAAATAAAACTTAACAACTTAAAAAATTGGCACATTGTATCCAATTGTCTTGTTTTAAATATCCCAACGGACCACATCTAGATATTGCCTTTAAAATTGTGTATGATATGGAAATTGATGCGTGACATTGTAACTTACTTCTTATTTCTGGGGTAACTTTTTTTAACACAAGTGTTTCTTTTTCTTTGTAGGAATAACATGACCAGAAGTACGTGTATGAATGTTTTCCAAGTCTTGTATTTTACATATTTTTAAACAGAACTTCTTCATTGTATTTTTAAATGTTTTTTTACCTTTTTGGAAATAAAATCTGCGTCCTCATCGGTGTACATTAAACGGGTCGCTTACCGCATGAGACTCTGAAATTGACATGATATAAAAATACAAAAAGGATATAATAAATAACCACACTCAAAAACGCTCTTTGAAATTTAAATAAGGAATGCAGCCTTATGATCATAAGAGGTAAACGAGAGAAATGGTAGATAAATATATATTTTTACTTTAACAAACTGTATACAGCACCAGAAAATAAGATGTATATGGCGATAAACTAATTTAAAGTTTAAAATATACTTTTTTATTAATTAATAATTAATATACATATAAACATTTCCTATGCATCTAATTTTGCAAAATTTAGAATTTCACATATCTTTTATTTATTCATATTAAATATAACGTGACAATAATGTGAAAATTTGCATACGAGATTCATCGGGTATTAAAATTAGGTGAAAGTATTGATATCAATAATACATAATATGTGATATTAATCTACTATTTAAAATAAGAAACGGTATAAAAGAGTTTGGCGAAATTATATTGGCATCATTCCAAATATATCTACCGAAATCAAAATGAAGTGGTCAATTTTGGTAAGTAAAGTAACATTTTAATGTTACTTACAATTCTAATTTATAATATTTTTTTTAGTTTAGTGGGATAGTAGCTTTAGTTGTCTCAGCATCATGCAAGGAGGAAAATAAAACTAATTCCCACAATCAAAAAAGAGGCCTGGAACTTTCTTTAGGATTACCTGGTGCAGCCTATAGAGTACCAGGAAATTTGTTATTGCCATTGGCAGCTCAACCTCAACCGCAATTATTGCAATATGGAGTACCACAAGGTCAAGTAGTTTTGCCTGCTAGTCAACAGTTGATACAAATTCAACCTCCACAAGGCAATCTATTTCACCCACTTAGGACTTATGCCCCTCAAGCCCAGGATTTGCTGCCTGTTCAATTGCAATCTCAACCAATTGCTTTACAAAATAATTTAATTAATTTTCAACATCAACAACCACAAGTTTTATCGCTGCAAAGATTGCCTTCTGCAGAATACGGAGCCCCAAGAAATGTACATGTACCACAACAATTAATCACAAATTTGCTACCACCCCGAACTCTACCCCTAAACTTTCAACAAGGATTGCCTCTTCCACAACCTTTACTACAAGGATTGCACACCACCGTACTAAGGAACCTTCCTTTAGCCCAACCATCTATCCAATATGGTGCACAATTGCAACAAGGATCATTATCTGTACAATTACCGCAAATAAATTTACAAGGATCCCAGGGAATTCAATTACCAAAAATACCCCAACAAGGCTTACAATTACAACAAGGTCCATTGATTTTGCAATCACCGCAGTTTACCTTGCAAAAATCTCAGGAAATTCAATTAACGCAATTACCTCAACAACGTAACATCCCTGCACCTTTAACATCTTTGCAACAAGGCTTACCTTTACAACAAAGTCCATTGATTTTCCAATCGCCGCAGTTTAACTTACAAAAATCTCAGGAAATCCAATTACAGCAATTAAATCAACAACGTAACATCCCTGCACCTTTAACATCTTTGCAACAAGGCTTACCTTTACAACAAAGTCCATTGATTCACCAATCGCCGCAGTTCAACTTTCAAAAATCTCAGGAAATCCAGTTGCCACAATTACCCCAACAACGTAATATCCCTGCTACATCATTGAAATATGGCTTACCAAATAATGCTCAATTGCAACAAGGTCCACTATTGTTCCAATCGTTTAATACGCAAGGATCTCAGCAATTTCAACACCAATTACCTCAACAAGCATCTTTGCAACTAGATCAACTTAATTTCCAGCAAAGACTCCAATCATTACAAGGTCAACAATTGGGATTACAAAGAAATCAACCTTTACATGTGCAACATCAACAACCACAAATCAACCAAGGCCCAAAGGAGCAATCCTTATCAAAGTCCAATAATGGGTATTAGTATTAAGTGACTATTGTTAAATTTAAATTTTTATAAAAGTTATTTAGTTTGTAAATAAAACAAGTTATAATTTAATATGTTTTCTTAATTTGGATTTTAAGTTTTTTAAGTACTAGAAAATATTTTATTGCCTGCTGCAAATAATAGAAATATGGAGTTTCACAACATCAAATAATTATGCCTAATAACATTTCTTAAGCGAAAGCTTCAATTTGTTACCACATTTTCAGAGAAATCAATCCTTACGTGAAACAAAAGAGCAATAGTTCTCAAAATCAAAGTTTAAATAAAAATATTATAATTTTGTATATCATTAATTGGGATTCCAAAGTAATTTACAAAAAAATATATACCGCACTAGTATACATATCTCTTTTTTATTATAATAATTATACAACATAAATAAAATAAAAAACAATTTATAAATTTATGTTTGGGTATTTATAAATTCTAAACTCTTGCAAAATAAAAATGCCATTTTTACAATTAATTACATAATGGGTTGGTTAACCAACAAGTTATAAATATGCATTGAATTAATTTACATTATCAATTAACAAAATAATATTTTTCAGCTTTTTCTTAAAAAAAGTATACGGAGTATAATTATTGTCCGATGTAATCTAATAATAAAAAAGTTGGAATATTATTATATATAATAATATCCCAACTTTTTAATTATTACATAGTATTACATCGGACAATAATTATATTCCATACCAGTATATATCGTCACTCTGTAAGATAATAAAATATGTGTATTAAAACAGGAGTTTTATATCTTCTTAAGTTGCACCTCTGGTTTCTATGTATATATAAAAATAATGGTAATAACATTGTTGTATAAAGTTGTATAAATAATTGTTATTATAACAATTATTTATACAACTAAAGACCAAATTCTATCTAAAATATTTGAAAATCCAATAAATAACAGAATTAGGCATTTTCTCTCAGTAAAAATATACTTAATTTATGTTTCGTGAAAAGCTGCAGATGCACTGCTAAATTAGAATTGCAATTTTACTCTAAGAAGATAATTTTTACAAAACAAACTTTTTTTCTTAAACCGATCTATTTTAAAAATAAAGATTTTTTAATTAGAATATCGGCGTACCTTTCCTTTCCTTCTGAGCATTTGCACTTTGAAATTGACGTCAGGGACATGCGCAATACCAAAATCGCATGCGCATTGCGGTTTTACTGTTGCGCATGTCCCTGGCGTCTATTTGACAGTTTAAATGCTCGGAAGGAACAATCCAAATAGGCTCTTCTGTAGTAAATCTAATAAAGAAACAATCCTCACAAAATTTAATTCTTTAGTATAGGGTATTTCCACGAAACCTTAACCCACCTTGACAAAAATCAGATGTGTTATTTAACAAAATAACAACTATATCTGAAGTCAAATAGTTCAATTGCGACGTAATTTATAACCTTAAAATATTCGTACATTGTGATGCTAAGAAGCTAAAATTAAGAATAAACAGGGAAGAGTTTCAATACTCGATAAAATTTTCAAATGTCGCACCCGTTACATTTTAAGAAAATTTTAGAAAATACAGTATGTAATTTTTGGGCATTTAAAATACGTGCTAGGTTAAGGTTACTATTCAAGTTTTACACAAAAAATTATTACTTTATGCTTTCATCCAAAATTTTACAGTATCAACTTTAGAAGCCAACTTGGTCGCGCCCGTTACGCTATTTATGACGTTAAAACAGGTTTTTTTACAGGCTTTTATTGACATTTTGTTTAAGTTAAATACCTAATTTTTCATACTATTTTTTTATATTAACGTATCTTGATATATATGAACAAACAATTTATTATCACGAAAAAACGCATATTTAAAGTCGCACCCGTTACAATGGAAATACCCTATAGGAGAACTTTTTTTGTATTTCTGAAACTGTTGATATCTTGATATAAGTTAATTAAGAAAATTAATATTATTTTAACGTTTATTATTAATTCTTAAATTATTAAAGCTTTTTATTGGACCACCCTGTATAACACGTTTTAACTGGCTTTATTTGGAATAACTGCGAAAAATGGTAAAGGAACTTTGTCTTAGAATTTCGCAAGAAATCCACCTCGTTCGTTTGGTCCGGTGATTTTGAGTCACCCTGTATATACTGAAACTGATGAAAATTCACACTCTTACATAGTCCTATTACCTTTCTTAGATCCTTGTTTTTAACATTTCTCATTAAATATATATTTCTAGTTTTAAAACAATTTTAAAAATACATTAGTTTTTAAACCGTGGCAAAATAACGCTTGCATAAATAACATATCCTGTTTCAAATGATACAACGAAGCAGTAACGAGTTTTAATTAAAAATCCTTATTTCCCTGCTCTACTGTTTTTGTCACACATTACGAAATAGCGACTTGCAAACACAGTTATAATAATATAATAATTATACTACACCAGTCGGTTTAAAAACTAAAAAAAAATCAACTTTACATTCTAGTCCAGCCTATTTACCTTGACAGTCCTACTTATTTTAAAAGAAAGAAATAGTGCAGTATTTCAAGTACACTGGTTGACCAATGCACACATTACAACAGATTAGAATAATTAGTAATAATTGAAAATAAACATACATTAAAAATTTCTTTGGAAAGCCTTATATTTTTTTAAATAAATAGGTGCAGTTTATTTTTTAATTAAAATTATTCATAGACTTTAAAATTATATCCAATAAGTTTAATTTTATTTTAACTGAATTTATCAATCGTTACTAATTTTATCAAATAATCCGATAATGTTATATCAAGATATAAAATTTTATACTAAATAATTATTAGAAGTTGTCATGGCTGAAAATACCAAATACGTTGGGTTAGTTAAATTTGCTATTGCCATTTCTCAATCTGTAAGTAGTTTATAAAAACACATTTATTTTTATGTTGATCAAGTCAATTTACATTAAATCTAATACATAAAATTTTCATTGTCTAGTGGGTGCTCAAGGAACTCTTGAAGAGCTTTTCTTTTGTGCTACGTAAAAACTAAGCTAATTTAAAAAAATATTACCTTTGAATTATTTAATAACCATGATGATGAAAGGTACGTTTCTTAACATTTGATAAAACCTATACGTTTGCCGAAATTGGAGCTAAAAAAAAAGTTAAGTGTTCCCTTATCACCCAATAAACATTCATAGATTATATATAAATTTAGCCTATCTTCATAAACTGTTCTTTGTGATATAATATTAAGACACGTCTTGGCGGAATTTCATACAACATTTTATTTTCAAGGAACAGTTTTATTTGTTAAACAATGCATAAAACGCACTAACAATTATAACATAAAATGTGAGGTAAGATAGGTTTAGAAATGTCAGCAGTTATCGATTTTTTTATTAGTCCTAACAGACCAAGATAAAAACTTGACCAAATTATTTTACATCCTAGGAGATAATCGTTTTGACAATAATAAAGCTCAAATTATAGAACGTCTGAAGATGCATTTTTTTTACAAATTTATTATTTATAATCTACAGTTATCAATTCTCATATGAGCGACAACAGTGTAATAAGTCGAAAAAACTGAATTTTGGGGTTTTTAGTGCAATAACTGTTAAATTACTCATAGTTTATGCTGCAACAGTGGTAAAAAAATATTTTTAAAATTAATCTCTAGATGGAGACTTGTGTCTGTTTGCAATTTGTATAATCCTTATCATACTGTTCATCAACAGTGTCATAAGTAAGTTGCCTGTAAGTTGTGACAGTAATTTTGTTAGCATTAAAGAATGAATAAGTGACGCTTCTCACCTAAAGGCAAATGGTCGTGTGTTTAGGGTCTCATTTAACTCGTTCGTAATTCCATAGTGCTACCACCGCTATCGGTGTTCAAATTCATAAAATCAATCAATGATACTACACGTGATCTACCAGAACCAAGTGTAAAAAGGTTGCAAATTGCGGATTAAGTCCCAGTGCTGTGAGGTTATTGGATATAACGAATAATTTTTCCTGGATTACCAACAACACGTACTAATAGTTGGCTGTCGAGGATAAGGAATAATTTTACAACACCTGCCTGTCAATGCACCTGAAGTCCAAATCTGCATAAACCGGATAAGTAAACCTACCAAAATTGGATGACCTTAATAATACCCAAATACTAAATTTTAATGCGAAATTCGCAACCTCAACTTATAAAAAACTTCATCACGTAAAATTTAGTCGATAACAGTTTCCATTAAAACACCAAGCATATCCAAAGAACTCATAAATAGGGGTTCACATAAGCAGTCATTAAAAACTCAAATTCAGATAAACACTAAGAAAAATAACTCATCCTAAAAAAATAAACATCTGTAGATTACTAAGCACATTTAGGGGAACCATAAATTGCCTTCTATGCGAAATAATAAACAACCGCACAGTGGGGTGCATCGTTATCAATATTCAGCAAGCTCGGAATCCGATTCGGACAGAGACACGGATACATACGAACAGTAATAGTAATTGATCAACACATTTTCAGCAATACAGTCATAAATGCAAAATTTATGCACATATTTTCAGCAACATAGACATATCTCCAAAATTCATGCACACCTTCTTCGGCAACACAGACATATCTACAAATAGCTCTTATCCAAAAAGAGTATTTTCTAAAATCTAATTTTTAACTGGCTCAGAACAAATATGAGAGAATTTTATTATTTAAAAATCTTTGACGTTCATTATCTCGGAATTAAGGTTTTGCTACTTATGACACTGTTGTCGCCCATGTGCGAATTGCACAAACACTTAATATAATTATTTATAAAGATGACAGCATAATTAAAATAATAACCCGTATATTTTATAATTTAAATACATTTGAGAATAAAAATGCTAAAGTTAACTTAGAAAACATTAAATTTCCGGAATTACAATTAGATTATTTAAAGAAATTCCGGAAATACATTTTCCAACACATATTTAGACATGCAAGTCACACATTTTTCCTTATATTTGTTTATAATATACTTTTACTTTAGGTGATTTATTTAATACTTGTTATAGTATTATGTTTCCTGGCAACCCTTTTAAATGTTAAGAAGCCTCCTGATGACACATTTATTTCAAAATGTAAGTAAGTAAATTTCTTTTTCTACTTCCATTATCGGGCGGGCGTAAAACATACATCAAAATTCGTCCCCCTAAAAATAAAAATTGACCTGTCCAAGGAATTTTGTCTTCGTTGGAACACCCTGTATATATAAGTGTATATATTTATTTTTTAGATGAAAAATACATTTTTGATGCGATTGGGATTTACATGATTCTTCCATTTGTGTTATCTCTCGTTCTTATATTAGGAATTCTACAGGTTTTTGAACATAACATTATTTCTTTATATTATAAGGATAATGGAAATATTTAAATATTGGAAATAATGGTGTTTTTTTTTAGAAAAATGTTACTTTAATAAAAATATGGTTTAAGATTTTTATAGGAGTTTTATCTTTGTTAATTCTGGTCATGTTGGGTTCGGGTATATTTATAATTATTAAGGGGACACTTTATGTTGGATGTGGCCTTATAGGAACAGCAATAGTCACTGCAGGTATTAAGCATGATTTAGTTAGATTTAACATTATAAATTAAAATAATGTTTATTTTTAGGGTTAGCTGCGTATTATTGTTATGTTTCCTTTGCAATAATAGAAGAAGTAAATTTAATAAATTCAAGATATAGTAATGAGTATAATGATTCTAATAATAACAGCTTGGATGGGAGAAGTGATAGCAATAGCAATAGTTGTTAATCTTTAAAATGTAATGTAAGATTTATAAAAAATATTTATTTTAAACTAATTACATATTTAATTTAATATAAATAAATGTTTTATTTATACCTATTTAATTAATTATGTCCTTTTTGTAGAGAAACAACAATTTAACCCATTGCTACTATCGTGGGATGGAAAATGACCTCACTATTCAATCTTCGGTTGCTCCACTCCACAGGATCTGGCTAACATTGTCACCGACCTAATCTCTTTATTCTCCTACCTAATTTATAAATAAAGTTAGTTTAGATTGGCCTAAATTTAAATTAATATTTTTATACAGCTGTTACGGGTTACGGGTTAACACTGTTTTTATACTCTCTAAAAATTAATTATTAAAAAATGACTAATTGTCAGCGAAAAAGCAGCCACTAATAATAGAAATTTGTATACCGAACATTTAGCAGTCAATTTCGATGTAAAATTCTCCCCTGAATCCGAAAATGATGTCAAAAGTTAGAAAAGTAGAACAGTTTTTGAGATATAGTCAATTTTCCATATAATATGGAATTCCACTTTCATAATTTTTAACAAAATTTTCGGATTCAGGGGAAAATTTAACATTAGAAGTGACTGTTAAATCTTGGGGATACCATGGTATAAGTGAAAAAGCAGCCACTAATAACTGTAGTAACAAGTCAATTTTGACTAATTCAATTTTAGAGAAATCTTAATTTTGTATGCCTTATATTAATATTAATATTGATCAATTGATTCACCTTCAAAATGTCTGCTTTTAAATTCATAAAATGTATACATATAAATAACTTTTATTACAAATCCACAACAAAATTTAACACTCTCATAATCTAAAATGCCAATTAACATCCCTAATTGTTCAAACTGTGCAGGCAAAAAATCATTTTTTGTTGTATTAGTTTATGTCCTAAGAAAACATGCCAAAATGACTTGGTTACTTTCCAAAAATAAGAAATCTATATGACGTCGAAATAGTTATTTGTTTTACAAGTGTTGAAAAGCGACTTTTTCATGCGAGTTTTTAAGTTGCCCACGAGGCTGTTAGGCCGAGTGTGCATTAACACGAGCTTGAAGAAAGCTTTTCTCACAAGTATAACACAATGTTTTTTCTGCGACCCTTTTATTTTTTATTATTTTTAAATACAAAACAAAATAACCTAAAAACTTTTTTGACAGCTGAATGTCAAACGATGCTTTCCGGTTCTTTTTACACAGACCTGTCACTTTTCACACAGAAATGTCACTTTACATTCGTGTTTTGCCTTGTCAATGAAAAGATTCATTTTCTAAGCAACGATGCCATCATGAAAAGTGACTTTTACATAGTGGTCGTAGAAAAAATCTATAACAATCTATAAAAACGTTGATGAAAAAAGTTACCATACCCAAACATGTTTAAAAAAAAATAGGTTAAAATTTCAGATAATCTCTTAAAAAAGTTTTACGGAACTAAAAAAATAAATCTATTTTACAAATATGCACAAATTCATTCCAAAACCGTTTCAAAAATAAAAATCAGTTAAAAAAGGTCTCTCTTGGGCCATTTTTAAATTATCCTACTTTATGACCACCCTGTACATAGGTACTATTTAAAGTTTTTAAAAAGCAAAACTTTTTATAAAGAGTAACGTTTTTTTGTAAAATTAATAGTTAAAAAGTTTCCCATAGAGAACCTACGCGACACAGTATTTATTATATAAATTTTATGTTTAAGAGACAAATTCTATAAAATGTATTGTCTATTTATCTTATCAATATTATATTAGATAAAATTTTTACAAAATCATCAATATTATCTATGATAAGGGATTTAAGTATATTTTATAAAGGGTATAACAATTTTCATATTATAATGCAGTTAAAAAATAAAATCCTTATACACCGCCGTACAATAATTAAAATACATTGAAATTATATAGGAAAAGTGGTTTTATCTATTGCATTTAGATCGAAATTAGTGGTCTTAAATGAGGAGAAAACCAATTGTATATTGTTTAGAACCAAACAATTAAAATTTCAAACACCCGATTATGTTAGTGGCTTAAAAGTTTCACATAATACCAAGTTTTTAGGAGTATACCTAGATGAAAATCTTAGCTGGGCAAATCACATTAAAAAACTTTGTATAAAAGTCCAATATTCTTTAAGAGTAATAAAACGCTAGGTTCACTATGATACGCTTAAAACGGTATACTGCAAATTTTCACTCCTTGCTGAGGTTTGGAGAAGTGTTCTGGGGGCAAGCTATTGACATCTCATAATGTTTCAAATTTAATGAGTCATGTAGAGATCATTTCAGACCCAATGGTATTCTTACAGTGGCAGGTGTATATGTTCATGAAATTTTAATATTTATATTCGAAAAAAAAAGTAAATTTTCTTATTTGAAATCGTCATCCATAACTAGATCTTTAAATTTAAATGTGCCCAATCATAAATTAAAAATATTTGAAAGAGGATGTTTTTGTTCTTGTGTAGTGTTCTTTAACAAGCTTCCCTGTAATAAAAAATGAAAATAATTTTAATATGTTTAAAAAACTTGTTCTGCAGCCTTTAGTTAGGCTTAAGCCATACAATATAAATGAATTATTATTATTATTATTATTATTATCAACAATCAACTTCAAATTCCATGTACTTTTTTGGCAGAATGAATATTAAATGTATATTTTGACCAACTTAAATATAAATATAATAGTTTTTAAAGAAAAGACAATTAAAAAAAGTATTATGTATATATATCTTATCAAACATATTTTAGATAAAATATTTACAAAATCATTATTATTATCTATGATAAGGAATTTAGGCTGCAATAAAGTGAGTTGAGTTATTAAAATGTTTGAATTATACCCATTGAGAGCCAAATATTTTACATTGGTTTTTAATTCCGTAAGTTAGTCTAGTCTTTTTTATCAATTATATCCTATGTATAATATATTTTTATAATTAATATTTCACAACCTTTTTATTACATTTTAGTTTTAGGTTATCTATCTTCTATTAGGAGCAGGAGTTTTTTACACAATTATTTTAATTAAAAATGGCAATAATACAAATCCCCAATTTTTGGTGCAAAAATATATTTTGTCATTTCAAGGAGGATTCTGTGTACTTCAATCTTTACTAGGAATTATTCTTATATATGGAGTAACTTCTGTAAAAATGCTCGATATATTAAACATATATTTTTAAGTTATTTTTTATTTTAGGAAAAGGTTACCATTATAAAATTTTGGAGGGTCATCTCCTTAATTATTTCAGTCTTTACGATATGTTGTATGATTTTTAATGGAATATACTTATTATGCAACTACAATGATATTTATATACCTTGTGCTTTATTATCTATTGCTATTTTATTGCTTGGTAGGCAAATAAATTTAAATTGTTATTATTTATTTAATTAATATTTTTAGTATTTTACATTCATACTTATTTACTAATCCGGAGAGAGCAAATTAGACTGGAAGCAAAGAAAATCAAAGAAATGCTAAACGATAACGATGGGAAATTTAAATATTTTACTTACAGAATAAAATAAAATAAACATAGTAAGATGAAGGGTTTATTATTATTTACTAAAATATCACAAGAATTATTGTGTTCGCAAGACAAAATCACATAAATAAAACTATAAATAAACAAATATTTAAATAAAATAGACTATGCCAATTCCACAATCCCAGTAACAAATTAAATTAATTATTTCATGTTTAAACTAAAAAGGATCTAATTTTAATTAGTAGGTAATTCTTAAAGAAATTGAATCCATCCACTTTAGAAGACGGTATTATTTATATAAAAGGGTTAAATTAAATTTATTTAAAAGTTTAGACTTCTTAGGTGTTTGAAAAATCTGTAGACAATTGAGAATTTCCATGCAAACAATCCTAAAACAAAAAATATACATTAGAAGTTTTATAGGAATAAAAGTTTTTTTATTTATAATTTACATACATTTACTTTTAGTTTCAACCTTTTTTAAATAAAACAATTTAAGGTAAATTTACGGTAAATTAAAAGTTAGCAACAGTTGAGCAATATCGCATATAAGGGCTTTTGGAGAAACCGCATTTATTAAGAAAAAGAATAATTACATGTATTTACATGCAGTTTTCGTAATTTAATTATATTTCTTAGTATTTTACTAACTATTAATATTGTAAGAGAGAATTATTCTAAAGTAAAAGCTTTTACTACGTTTATACTCCAAGGTAGAAAAGTCACCTATATTTCACACTGTCTCATCAAGCGAACCGCACTCTGCGAGATACAAAACGACCTGGTGAAAAATCGCCATATTAAAAATGCAAGATTTGGACTATTAAATGTGTTACAACTTCAGTGAACCTACTCTCTTAAAATGAATTAGTCAAAAATAACTAATTATAAGTCATATTTGACTAATTGTCATTGCGAAAAAGCAGTCACTAATTAGTCAAATTCTACTGAATGAAATAGTCAAATTAGTAGATTTATATTTAAAAAAGTTTTGACCCAGCCGGGGATTGAACTCAGGACTGTCGCTTGTCAAGCTTGTCAAGCTGTTGTCATAACCAGTGTGGCTATCAGTCACTCTTATAAAAATCAATTTCATTTGTCAATAAATATTCATAATATTTTAAAGTTGAATATATTATTTGTCTTGCTGTTTTGAGCTAAACTTTCTGCATCCTTGTTTGTTTTTACGTGTCATTTAACCATGTAGCCTATATGCATTTAATTAAAATAAAACTTTGTTGTTGACCGCAAACGATTAAAGAAATTATATACTTTTAACTCTTAGAAATAGTCAAAGATGGTGACTAATCTTAAATTAGTCAAACTTAAACTATTTACGTAGTAAAAAATAACTATTTAAAAGTTAAAACGACTATTTTATTAGTAAAAAATGCTGGTACTAATTCAAATAGTAAAATTTGACCCAATTATTTCATTTTAAGAGAGTATTAAGAACATATTAAAATTTGACCCAATTATTCCCTATGGCACGCCGTTTTATCATTTATCAGATAATAGTTTAAAGATTAAAGTTTAGCACTTTAATAATGTTTTAACGGAAATTTATTTTTTTTTAAATTCTAAACAATTGATAGCCAAAAATTATTTTAAATATAAAATGCATCTGTAAAACTTTTAGCTTAAAAATATTGATTTCCAAAAATTTAGTTCTAATATTTTATTCTTTAAAATTATCGGTTTAAATTTGTAAAGAGGCATTTAAACGGTAGTCGATAAATTTTTACATTACATTTAAATGTAAGTGGTTAAAGTGGTAATTTTTTGATTAAAACTGTATCGTTTAAATGACTCTTTAAAGTTAAACCAATAATTTTTATTTTAACAATTTTAACACAAAACCAACCACGAGAGTGGTCAATTTTAATAATTAAACTTTAATGTATAGTCCAGAGTCGGTAAAACGTACAAAGCACGAAATCTGCAACATATGCAGTCAGCTAAAGCAGCGTTTACACTTTGTAAATTAAAAATTATCGACTTACATTTAAATATAACATTAATATTTTTGTTTTAAACAAATATCAATTTAAAATTGATAAACATAAAAGTTATTGGTTTAATCATTAATCATTTAAAAATTCAAACCGATAGTTTGTAGAATGAAATAATAAAACTACAATTTTTAAAAAACAATATTTTTAAACTTAAACTGTAACAGTTGCATTTTATGTTCAAAATATTTTTTGACTATCAATTGTTTTGAGTGTAACGTCAGTTCCAAATCAGGCGTGAGCTCTCAAGTACATAAAAGTCTTAAAGAAACATACAAATCGCTCATATATAGTGTAGTTTAAGGAAAAAACGGTGTGAAATTAGTGCTACTAGTTTTCCTACTTGTGCAGGTGAAATCAGTGCTACTAGTTTACTACCTGTGCTGGTAAAAGCAGTGTACCTATTCTCTTAATGAAAACAAGTGAATACAGGGGTAACGTCCATACGAACACGAAAGTAATTAAGTGACACAAGACAGGTCAAGGAGTCACTTATGTGAAGAAGAAACAGCAAATTTGCAACAAAATCCGGGCAATAATCAATCATTATAAGAGTGTAAATAAACCAAATCAAGTAAGAACGTCACAAAATAATATAAGCAAAAACTTAAGAGGCCAGCCCCATAAATAAAAGTGTTTAAAAGATACCGAAACTAAAATAAACAAGTCTCTTAAAATAAATCAAAAATCGTTAACGAGCACTTAAACAAGAAATACCCTAAATAAATCAATTCAGACAAACAAAGGGCAACTAACGACAAATAAGTTAGGCACAGTGGGGCAATAATTCGTGTTTCTGCAAATTTTTCAGTAGGTTGAATAAAGCCGGGCCAAATCACTTTGACCATAGAAAGCCTTAGAAACACCTTTACAGGTGCCCTTTGCTCCAGAAGGAGCTACAGGAAGAAGCTGCACTATGAAGTCGGTACTCGGCTTGAGGGGTTGAATTTCCACGTAGACAGAGGGCACAACTTACGGCGGGTCACCCGGAAACACTTCGGTATTGAAGATTCAGTATCGCACAGGGGGGCAAACAATTCTAAAGCGGTTACTAGGAACCGTAATCCGACTCGGTCAAAGACACGGACAGAGACGATCAGGAAGTACACCAACAAGGATACCCACCCCCATTCATGATTCCCAATTGATGGTGTTATTACTAAGCCCTGGTTGAGAAGGATTCTGGATTGTACTTAGTTTTGGGTCAGTTTAACGTCCTCCAAAAAACAACATGTGTTCCCTCCTTGCCCCGCAATCCACTATCCTAAATTGGGCGTATGGTCCGACCCGGCGACAAAATTCCGGGAATGGCCTTAACCATCGACATTGTCATCCACGACCGAATAGGGGAGAGCTACCAGCCGGCGTAAATTCGGATCCAACAAACACAGGTAATGCTGTGGAATACGTAGGGGAATGTAAAGGGGGTAAGACAACCCTACTCTCTAAAAATGAATTAGTATTCCAAAATTTAACAGCCAATTCTTATGTAAAATTTTCCCCTGAATCAGAAAATACCGTCAAAATTTAAAAAAGTAGAATAGTTTTTGAGATATAGTCATCTCCATATTAAATGGAAAATTGACTATATCTCAAAAACTGTTCCACTTTTTTAACTTTTGACGACTTTTTCGGATTCAGGAGAAAATTTACATAAGAATTGGCTGTTAAATTTTGGGATACCATGGTATTCCATGGTTAACCATGGCACAAGTGAAAAAGCAGCCAATATTAACTAATTAATTAGTTACTTTTGACTAATTCATTTTTAGAGAGTAGGAGATTAGTGTAAGGTGATGTCGAGGGGGCTTGCCGTACGTCCCCATACTTATACTCATTGTTTTGAGTTTAAAAAAATAACTTTTTAAACTATTTTGGTAGAAAATACAACAAAAAATAACTTTACCAATGTAATCTTAATAATTTTATGAAATATTTATTTAAGATTTACAAAAATCTTTTCAAATAAATTATACTTGAGAAATTATTTTTAATAATGAATGATGCAAATATTGATTGAAAATATTATTGTTTGGTATACATGATAGTGGAAAATATTATAAATTTTTAAATGTAAACCTAAAATTTTCAAATTTTAAACCAAAAAATATTTAAATTAAAAAATTATATAATAAATGTTAAAACGGCATTCCATAATTTTAACCCAAAAACTAGTTTCTTCTTGTAAACAGACAAACGAATTTTTCCATAATTTTTGGAGATTGGTCGACCAGAGCGTGGTGCATCTTTAACATTAAATTTTAAGAAAAGCATTTTTTTCTTATACATATATTTCATATACCTACATTGACAATGTAACATTGTACATTTTTATTTATACTACTAAATATTTTACCTGCAATGATGGTAGAGAAAACCAGATGTCCAAACACAAAATGAGCCTTATCTGTGTCACTATGATTGACAACGCCAATAATTGTAGCAATCAGGTAAATTGCAATAAAAATTGGATTGTATATAAGCCATGGAAGTAGTAAAGCTGGACGATTCTAATGATAAAACATAATTTCATTAATATGTTATATTTATTTACTAAAATCAATGTATATAAATACATAAAAATATCAGTTCCAATTTGTTTTAAAATCATTTATCACTTTTGTAAAATAAAACATGTCATGAAAGCTTTCATTAAAATTGAATAATCAATAGTACCTACTTTATAAACTAGGCGAAGAAAGCACATATTATTGCCGAGCATACATTTCAGAAACTTTTTTTTAATCATTTAATTAAATATTTTAATTAATTTTAAGGTTTGTCTCATCTCATCATGATGATTTTTGCTTCATTTTTGAACAGAGTTTAATAATAATTTCACTTTTGAACTAGTCTTAATATGAAGTCTTTCAATACAGGGTGTTAGTCAAGTAGGTATGTTTAATAAATTTAATACATGACTCTTTGTGTGATTTTATATTTACATAAAAATGGGTACGCCACTAACTTTTTTGTAATTATTATATTTTTTTTTTAATTAAAATTACAACTTTTTTTCTCGTTTTGCTTAGTTTTAAAAAAAAACACTTAAATTCATATTTTGTGTGTCCAGGGATATGCAATCAAGAGGATTTTATCTTTTTTTTTCGCAAACAAAATTAAAGAGACAAAAAAGTTGTATTTTAAGTTGCCTGATTAAAAAAAATACAAAAGTCGGTGGAGTACATTTTCTTGTTAAAAATATTTGTTAAGAAGTCGCCCCTAAATTTAATAAATTTAATAAGTTAGAGCTAAATTTAACAATACAAATAACACTGCCAAATTACAACAAATTTGGGCAAAGGATATTTAAGAGATTTACAAATTTCAAAAAAAAACACCCGGTACTTTGAAGACAAAGCATTTTCGGATGCAAGTTTATGTTTATGGAAACTCTTTGTCTTAAAATCACTCAAAGAATCGTCGGTTTAATTTAGACTTATGAAAATGTAAAAAAATGAAAATTATTGTACGCTTAAAAAAATATTACGCTAAATTTAAACCAAATTAATTAATTAAGAAATAGTAGATACATATACAAAAAATTTAACAGATCAAAAAAATAATTGAATAAAAAATGATACTTACAGTTTCAGCTCCAAATATTATTAGAATGGAGAATAAGCATTGAAGACCACTGATTGAAGCACATATAATTAGAATTACTTTAAGAGCTAAAAAAAACAATATTTTTAATAATTATTCCATATTCTATATTTGGATGTATGGGTCCCACATTCCAAATTAGTTTAATCATTTTAGTTTTAAACGAAGTTGCATAAAATAATATGAGAAAAATATACTATTATCTACAACACTTTCGTCTACTATTTAATTTTGCAAAGTAAAGGTGTTGTCCATATAAAATTATACCAAAGATGATGACTTCAGCCAAATGTTTATTTCTCTTAATATCTAATAAAATTGACTTTAAATTTATTGCGGAAGTTAAATAAAATATTGTGTGCGACTATTGGGCAAAATAGAAGATTCTATATCTTTTTTCTGTGAACAGTCACGCAATATACTTTTGTTAATATTATTAAACTTTGTTTTGTAACCCGAGCTGTTTATTAAAGTGATACAGTAAATAAGTAACCTTCGAGTGCTGCTCACGCAATTTTTATCATCCGTGTAGGTAACCAGGAGTACATTTACAAAAATAAATTATACCTATTTATCCGAATATTATATAATATTTTAGAGGCTGTATTTTGTTGGGGGTTTTTTATATTTTTACTAATATACAGAAACATAAAATAATTAAATCTTAACGTACAAGATTCAAGAGTTAATTGTTTTACTGAAAAATATATCATGATATAACGATAACATAGTCCAGTCAAATAAGTAAAAAAAAATATCATTCTCCGGAAAAAAATTTGTTTAATTAGACATAAGCAATATTATTTTAGTATATACTAGAATGGTAAAACTACTAAGAAAAAAACTAATACCTACTAAATTCACCGTGTTTCTCAGAGAACAAAACCCATAGATGTGGTGCATAATAATTATTTATGGCAAACTCTAGTGAGGCCTAGGCCAAGGTGTAAACTGATACCAATGTTATATCAAAAACAAAGGATTTTTAAATTTAGAATTTAAAAAAATTATTTGTAAAAAATTACAGCTTTGCAGAGCAGCACTTTAATAGTCAAGTTTGATAAACGCCATTTTAGTCACGAATTTTAATTAGGCACGAGCAAGCTTCCGAGCGAGTGTTTAATTAAATGATTGTCTAGAAAAGTTTATAAACGAGTTGCATACTAAATTTTTTCTACGACAAATACGTACTATTATCTAAAAATGATTAAAATTAAATATTTGTATAGAGCGACATCTATAAAAACTATACAGTAACTCGCGTAAGTATTTCTTACTTGGGAATCGGTATTACCGGTGCGCCGATCAAAATGTCAATTTTTTTTGTTTAAATTGAAATTTATGCCTTAAAATGGACTAACAACCATTTATATCTAATATAGAGGCAGTTTTTCACAGTGAAAGTAAAGAGAATGTTTTATGGGCACTTCAAAGTGAAGTCTTCACCTGAAATTTGTAATGCTTTATTAGTTAAATCTAGTGTACTCCGGAAAATCAAAAGGTCAGTACAAACTTGCATATAAACTTTTTAAAAAGGTGTTGGCGTTGAGAAATGTAATACTTTATTTAATTTTGTATTAAAATAATTTCCTCATTATTATTTTACTTTAGCCTATGACTAAAACTCCATGTGTATTTAAAAGTTAACTTAATGTCATAAAAACATAAAGGTAGTTTTAAAGGTGGGATTATAATTGTATTTTATCTTCCAGTTAAACAGCTTTTAATATTTTGACTTGACTAATATTGCATTAAGTCTAAGATACCAAAAATTAACCTACTTATATAGGTAGTTTTTCCCAGATGATACAGGTTTGCAAAAAATAAATAATTCACTATAATAATTATTATAAAATACTAACCATGATGTCCAGGTATAAGGGAAGGGTCAGCCATGTCAATAAGTTCATGTGGATGTTCAGAATACGTAGCAGTCAAAAGCATCGCAATAAAGGAAATTATACTGGAAAATGTTCCTATAATAATAGTGGAATGTTTAAGACTTAAACTTGAAAAACCCATGTTCCTAAAAAATAATAAGAAATAAGAATAAATCCCTAAGATCAAAGATAAATTGTAATTTTTTAGGATGTTCGGGTTACCCGAATCAGATAGTACATTGCGGTGAAAGGGGTAAGGGGAGTTTTATACTTAATGCATAAATAGCGAGGTACCAACTTTATTTTGTTTTTGATTTTATAATTATTTTTTATTAGAATCCAAAAGGCACCATAACTATAAACATATATTTTAACACAAAAACCTTTACTAAAAAACATAAAAAATGGAATTTATAAGCGAAAACATTGCGAGTTGTTAGTAGTTGGTTTCTATAGTAACGCTTTTCGCTTTTAACAGTGACATTTCTATATGCATTGGTATTTAAAATCTGAAAATGGGTTGTGAAAACGAATTAAGTCTGTTACAAGTTATTCAAAAAAGGTATGGGATAAAAAATAAAGCAAGAGAAAACATGCATGTTTGTTGAATGCAGCAAAAGTCTAAAGAGAAGAGCAGGAAACAAAGAAAAGAAAACTATATAAGGTAGAAGGGTTGTGTAATTATTTTAAAACAATTAATAAATTATAATAAATAACATACAAAAATTGTGATTCTATTTTAATAATTAACTTTAAAAACAAAATTATGATAATCACCAAATAAATCAAACAAAATATCCCTAGATAATTCTGTATTCGTAATTCAGTGTTGTCAGATGTTTTAGACGAGAATGACAGATTGATAAAAATAAGTCAACAGTCAAGAGTGTATGAAAAAAAAATCAATAATTATTCAATGGGGCTGAATGTTTAATTAACGCATTTCTTATAACATGACTATAGAAATTAATATTTTTTTCTCATATGCACTTATACCTGTAGAAGTGGCATATAAATTTTTGTTAACATTCACAACACAGTTTAGCAATAATAAACGATAACAGCCCATGTGGTCTTAGCAACTTTAATTATTTTTTACTCGGAAACCGGACAGTGAATCTTTCTAAAACCTTGTGAATGTATTTTAAGTAGGCTCTACAACAACCTAAAATTTTTGCAATATTTTCTCATGGCTACTAATAGCGCGCCCGAACTTCCTTAATTTATTCACATGTGGCTATCTAATATTAAAATCTATATTTATAAACAAAGGAATCTTATCTTTATTATTTATTTTATATTAATATACTCGTATAAGCTTTAGGAGAATTTGTGAGCTAAGATTAAAATTTAAATTTGCAATTTCTTTTTGAATCATTATCTTAAATTGAGCTGGTCAAAAATGACTAGTTGTCATAGTGTAAAAGCAGCCAGTATTAACTGTAGTCCAGTTGATAAAGTCAATTCCATATTATAAGGAAAATTAACTATATCTCAAAAACTCTTCTACTTTTATAACTTGATGGCATTTTCGGATTAAGCTGACATTTAAAATCAGAATTAAAATGTTCAGTATACGAATTGCTGTAAAATTATAAATGGCTGCTTTTTTGTCATAGTCATTTTTATGTAATAAATATTATCTGAACTAAAACCATTCGTACCTTCTCTCTGATTCGTACTGGGTTTTTTATTTACATGAAATTATTATCTAATGATAACCATACCTCTTTAGGACAGATTTTCAGTTTAGCGAGCTTTACTGATGTTAAATATTATATTAATATATATAATAATACAGGCAATATTAATTTATTAAGGTCATTTATTAACTAAAAACATATTGGCGTTTATTACAATAAAATTGTACTTGAGGGCCTTATAATAAAAAGGGTATCTATAGATGCAGACAGCCCTGTCCTGATAAGCAACCATTCCTTATTTAAAATTTTAGATATGAATTATTAAAATATCATTTTAATTTAGACGAGCCGCCACTGTTTATATGCATATTTTTGACTGACATTTATTAATTTTATTACACGTGGTTAGTCAAGTATCGATTTTTCCACGTTCCTGTTATTAAAATAATAACATTTCCTGTTTTGTTACAAAAATATATAGTTAAGTAGTATTTTTGCCATCAGCAAAAACCAAATTAATTAAAACTATTGCGTCCTAGTTAAAGAAACTTTCTCCTGCTAAATACTTGGAAGGTAAAACATTGCAATAAAAAAATAATAAAAACTAGAAAACTTATTGGGATATTTCAATAAAATTTATAAATTAATAAAATTTTGATTCTACCAAAATTAATGCAAATATAATTACATCACAGTAGCCATTTTATAAACATACAGAACTTTATTATATAATTACTTTTTTTTAAAGAAACAAAGATGAACACACTAATCATATACAATTTATTGTTAATTAATCTAATAACCAAATTAAAAACTTACTTAGAGGTAGTTTAAAATTATTATAACTTAAATCACAGAGAAATAATACTGAATAAACACACTAAATTTTAACAACAATATTCTTGCAGACTGCTATTGGTGTAACTGGCCGACGAGTTAAAAAATCGCCTACGTTTCGCCCATTGTCTGCTACCATGGATAAATTATTTTGTTGTAGATTTAAACGTATGTCTATGATAAATGATGACGTAGTTAATCTAGCTGAGTCAGTTTGTTGCCTATGATAGATAAACATTTCTTAAACGAATTTACCTATTAGAAACGTTGATGGAGCTATAAATTGTTTTGGTTTTAATTGTTTTAGGTGGCTATTAAGTCATGATAAGCTGTATAAAAAATACAGTTAAAACAATTATTTTTTTAAGATAAATAGTTTGTTTTCAGCTGTTAAATGACGTACACAGGGGCTGATTTATATGAATGCGATTTTATTTTTTTTTTACTTAAAAATATAAAAACTCTTTATTACTATAAGATAACATGTTTATTTCTTTTAAAACCCATTTATTGGGATTTTTTTATCTATTATAGCGACTGGTTGTACGGGTAGGTAAGCTAACTTTATTATGTACACATTTATACACAAACTATATATGAACCTAGCGTGTAATTAGCCGGAGCCGATGTATTCAAGGCGGAGAATTGGGATGTAGTGATCCAGGGTGGAATAAGGAGGTGATAAATGGGCAAAAATATTATAATTTAAAATTTACACAAAAAAATTACAACAATTTAAGTTTTGGATGATTTTAACCCCACCACAGCTTTATGTTTTTCGATATACGCAGGTATATATAATAGGTGTATAATATTGAATTATGTCCATTGGTTTTAAATACTATACAATCCTAATTTAAAAAAGATAATATTTTAAATACACGCTCGGTAAAAATATACCAGGTATAAGAAAGCAAGCAATAAAAATTAAAGTTTTCGAATATATAAAGTATAAAGTCATCAATTAAACATGATGTATTTTTTTGCATGAATAAATGTGGTAGGCTGTTAATTTGTAAATATAATGAATTTCATTTGAATTTTGACGATGTATAAGCACTTATTTTTTGTTTGTTTATTGAATGGTTTTTTATTTAATAGAATATAAATAAAAATGAATGAATAAGTGACTTGATAATTTGTATTTTGCCTTTTTATTTACAAATTTTTAGGAAATATTGATAAATTAAAATAAAATAAATTTCTAAATTCGTTTTTTTCAAAAATAATAATAAAAATATAATAATATACAGGGTCTTTCAGAACTCACGTCATAGAGAAAAAGATTGGGTGCCGATAGCAAGAGAGATGATAACACCTTTTAAAGAGGACTTTCATACTTCAGGACGCCAATGTTTTAAAGTATAAATTAAACAACTACACTAATAAAAATCAGATTTCTTAACAGGAGTTTGTAGTTTGTTAATTTTATTTTTTTAAATTTTGACATAATTTTTTGTAAAAAACCTGTAGAAAACTATTTTAACAAATTAAAATATTTTACCGAAAGTTTTGTAAAGGTAATATGCAATTTTGTATCCATTTTGTTAATTTTAAAGTTTACAGGTTATTTTGTTAATGTTTGTTAACAAATTATTTTGTTAAAAAAGTACACGTGATTTCAGGCAGTCAATCAAAATATTTCCCACTGAAAATACGCATCAACAAGTTCAACTGACTTCAGCGTCTGAACTTAGTTTCTGCTTACTTTATTCTAATTCGTAACGTTTTCGTAACAACTGGAACTGAAATTAGGAGATGGGTTAAAGTTACGAAATACATCTGTAAGTGTTGTAATAGTAATATTGTACCAAATTTATTTATAATTTGATGATTTTAAAATGGTGTATTATTTAATTGTTTTTTATGTTATTTTTGTAGGTAGGTATGTGTTAATTTTTTTTTAGAGAATTCATTAATAAAGTAACATTTCTTTTTCTACAAAAAGGTTTGTAAAAAGAAGGTTCTTTTTGAAAATTAATAGAATTATTTTTAGATTATTAATATAGGATTTTGTTATTAAATCTACTTATTAGTTAACAGATTACAGTTGGTTGCAAACTTAACATAAAGGTTTCTGGACCTGGATTAACATAAAATCTGGTTAATATTTGGTTAAAATTAACAAATATTTTTTTACTGTTTAGTTTTGTATCCCAGAGCCAAAATGTTCATCTAGCAACCACCGGCAAAATTCCATTCTAGCGGGATAATACCAACAATGCATCCTAAGTATTAAGCAATTTAAAAAATTCCCCTAACCATCTATTAGGATTAGCTATTTTTTTAATTCTTATGTCGGTTATCCTTTGCGTTAAACAATATTATTTTTAAATAAAGTGTTTCATTTTGACTGGCGACAACTCGGTATTTATTTAAAAATAATCCGATTTAAAAAAAAAATGTTTTTAGTTTGTAGTACTCAAAAAGCTTTAAATTTTAAAAAACAATAATTGTCATATGTCATTTCCAAGGCTTCTGTAAATTTGGTGGGAATTTAAAAACAAATAGCGTTTCTGAATTTGGCATAACTTAAAACCCCTAAAAGTATAATTTATAATGTATAAAGGATGGTCAAAAAGTAAAGTCAATTTTGGAAAAAATAGTATATTACACTACAAGGGCAGAAAGTGTGAGATTCCTGCACTGCGCGCCATGATACCCGAGGCGAAAATACGGGAAAAAATTAAATGCGTATATCGAAACATATTGATGCCTGCCCAAATTTTGAGGTTATATTAGTGTCGTAATCAGAGTTGCATATGTTGAGCACAAGACTAAAAAAATTTTACTTCCGCTATTATAGAGTGTGCGCGTATAGCTTGACCAATGCAGGAAACGTAAACTTTCTGCCGTGGAATCGGGGACGAAACAACGTATTTTCAGTCGAGGTAGTAAGAAAATCAATTTTTTAAGCACTTTATATAAATTGTAGCAAAAATTTTGCAAAAGTATTGTCATTTTTTTGAGGTGTTACACGAACTAAACATTCGCTTAGTTTTGTTATTCTAGCTTACATATATTTCATATTTGAGTATCTTTTATATTTGATACAAACCTCTGTTTTCTTTATACAGGGTGTCCCATAATTATCGTGCAATAATTTAAGAGCAGATTCTATGTTCAAAAATAAGAAGAGGGTTTTTGTTTAATAATAATAATAATAATAATATTTATTCATGTTATAAATTTTACAATTTTTACATTCGTCAGGTACAGTATATACGTATATAATATTTAATTAGTTAAACCCATGATTTTTTTTTTTTTACACTAAACTAACAGCTAACAATAAGAGTATACAAAAATAAAATAAATAATTACATTATGGCACTCGTTAAAAATTCATTAAAATTATAAAATGCATGTTGTAATAGATATGCTTTTATCACATTTTTAAACAATTTTTTTTCCATACTCTTTACATGAGATGGAAGCTTGTTATAGAATACTGGGACATAGTACATTGTCGAGTTAAAAGATTTTGACAAGCGAAGAAAAGCAGGAAGCAAGTTACCATTGTTTCTTGTATTGTGTTCATGAATACCGCTGTGTGAATTATATTTATCAATATTATCCTTCGCATAGATGAGACATTCCAGCACATATTGTGAAGGCAATGTTAGAATTTTTAAATTAATAAAAGCCCCCCTAGCATCTTCCCTATACCCCAGGCCTGCCAGAATCCTAACAGCTCTTCTTTGAAGAGAAAATATTCTCTCCATATGAGAGGAATGTCCCCAGATAATTAGTCCATAAGAAAGCATGGAATGTATAAAAGAATGGTAAGCAATTTTTTGGACTTCCAGATGAACAAAATTGCTGATTTGACGAAGGAGGAATATACTGGAAGTTAATTTATTTGCCAGATAATTTATGTGGTGTTCAAACGTCAAGCGGGTATCAATTATGATCCCCAGAAATTTAGAGAAGTCTGGATTTTCTCCTGAGATATTTCTTAGTGAAAACACCATTTTTGTAGTTTTTTCTTCATTTAGTGATAAATGGTTTGCTAGAAACCACTCTTTTACACATTTCATGCCATCCTCCATTGAACTTTTTAGGCTATTTAGACAATTACTTTTAAAAGACAAAGTTGTGTCATCTGCAAACAGAACTAGTTCATTCACCGCCTCAAGTGATGAAAGATCATTTATGTAGATTAGGAAGAGAAGAGGCCCCAATATAGAGCCCTGGGGAACTCCATGCTTGACCAATCCTCGATCAGAGAGAACACTATCAAAATACGTATATTGGTATCTGTTTTCCAAGTAGCTAGTCAGCAACTCCAGCCCCGTCTCATTGACACCATAATAATGTAATTTTTTTAAAAGGATCTTGTGGTCGACGCAATCGAAGGCCTTACTAAGGTCGCAAAATACTGAACCAGTGTAAAGCTTACTTTCAAAGCCCTCGATTATGTATTCCACAAGCCTTATGCAAGCTTCACTTGTGGACTTTCCAACCCTAAACCCATATTGGTTTTTTGTTAATAAATTGTTTTCTTCGAAAAAAACAATAAGTTGGGATTTTAGCAGAAATTCGAAAACTTTTGATATTACTGGAATCAATGAGATGGGTCTGTAGTTTCCTACCTCACCCACATCACCCTTTTTATATACCGGAATAACCTTACTAACCTTAAGAGGATCCGGATAAACTTTGTGTTTTAAGCATAGGTTAAAAAGTTTGGTTATTGGAATTATAAGGAGATTTTTAACTCGTTTTATTAATGACACACTAAGACCATAGATATCTCTACTAGACTTATTTTTTAAAGTGTCTATGGCATGTCTAACCTCGTTATAGGTAAACTCTCTAAAAGAAAATTGTCTCGGCATGGCATCCGCCCTCTGCCCATTAAGGAACTCCAAAGGCGACAGACTTGACGTTGGCTGAGAAGAAACTATACTACTCGCTATATCCACAAAAAAGTCATTCAACTCATTGGCAGATACTTCATTTGTTGATTTAGGCTTATGCCTTGTCTTATGTGCACTGAGAATGTCCCAAGCAGCTTTGGACTTATTGCTTGCAGTTTTTATATAGTTTGAATTTGCTGTCCGCTTACTCCGCTTTATCTCATCTCTATACTTCGACCTAAAGCATTTAAAAGAGTTATATATTTCGGGTAGTCTACAACAATTATAAAGTTCCTTTAAAAATTTTAGATTTTCTCGCATTGACTTTAATTTGGGTGTGAACCAGTCAATTTTTTTCACCTTATTTATAGTTTGTGACATTTTAAGAGGAAATGACAATTCCATATTTAAAACAAGTTTATTTATAAATATGTTTAATTTAGCGTTAATATCAGTATTTTCACTAATAAAAGACCAAGATTCATTTTCTAAATTTCTATAAAAGTTGCAGACTCCATGCTCTGAGAAAGGTCTATACCACTCTGTTTGCAATAAATTTTTTTCCTCTAACTGAAAGCAAGATTCTATACATACAGCAAGATGATCAGACAATAATGGATCAAATACATATGCTTTAAATTCAAGAATATCAACAAAATTTACAAAAATATTGTCTATGCAATTTTTAAACCTTGTATTATCAAATATAACTTGTTTGTGTCCATATAAATTAGTAATATCTAAAAACTTTAAACATTGTTTATTTTTTAAGTTAAAATTTAAGTTAAAATCACCTACCAAAATAACATATTTAAAAGTCTTATTTGCATATTCCAGAATTTGGCCCAAAATGGTAAGAAATAAATCAATGTTACCATTTGGTGGTCTGTAAATACTAACAATACAACATTTATATAAGCATAATTCAATTGATGAAACTTCACAAGTCATTTCACTTGATAAGTTTTCAATAAACAAGATTTGTTTTGTTTGAAATTTTTTATTACACATTATGAGGGAACCCCCTTTGATATGATTTACTCTGGAAAAATAGGATATGACTTGAAAGTTATTAAAACTAAGAGATTGAATTTCGTTTACATTAAGAAAATGTTCACTTACACAGACAACATCAAGATTTTCTGAATTTATTAGGTAGTCCATTTCATCAATTTTGTTTTTAATTGAACACAAATTTATGTGTAATAATTTTATGGGACTTTTCGAGTTATTATATGAAGATAAAATAGTAGTATTGCTACATTTTAGGTTGTTTGCTGGTTTTTTATCCTTGGGTAAAAAAACCTTGACAAATAAGCACCTTCAGGCCAGAGCTCCGGGTCCATAACTTTTTCAAAGTTGGGTAGGTCGACCGTCAATTTAAAAGAAGAATAGAAGTTAGGAAATTTGGAAGCCAGTGTTTCACAAATAATTTCTGGAAAACTATCCTTCAAATATGTTACCAGATCCTTTTCTTTAGTCGCAGGGTCTAGTCTAGATACATAAACAAAAGCTTTCTTCGGGACAACTTTTAATGCACAAGTAGAAGCGCTCTTCAGTTTTCCAATAACAGCAGTCTTATTAGTTCTAGTACTAGGCTTTTTGATTGCATTAGCATATCCACCAGATGTTGAAGCTATAGGTTTATTAATATTAATTAATTTTTCACATGCATTTTTGGTTGCACTTTCTAGAATTCCTAGAGATACACTTTGGGATGATATTACGTTTGGAACCACAGCAATATCAGTTTTTTCTTTGCTATTTGGTTTATCATTAACTACAAATTTATTGTTTATTGCAATTTCTTTTTTGTTTATGGCATTTTCTTTTTTATTTATCACATTTTCTTTATTGTTTAGTTCAATATCTTTTCTGTTAATATTTTGGGGTTTACTTGCTTTTAAATTATTGACTTTATTAATTAAATTTATCTGATCCTTTAAAGAATCAATTATTGTTTTCTGGCTATCAATTAATACATCTTTTTGCTTAATTATCTCCTTAAGATAATATATTTCGACAGCTAGAGGATTATTGGAAATTCCAGATGTGCTATTTAGATTTGTTTGTACTGTATCTTGAATATTTTCACAGCAAACAATATCCTTATCATTTAAAAACTTAGCATTTTTTAACTTTGCACAGCTTTCGTGCATTACTGAATCGCAATTTATGCATTTTACAAATATTTTAGGTACCGTTTGGCATTTTTTACACGGTTTGGAATTTTTATCCGTCATTATATATTTCTAATATAATTAAGACTAATTAGCACAAATAACCACTACAAGCAAGTAGCACAGCTGGCAAGAGACCAACCCAGCTCCGCGGAGCAACAGAACCGCCTCGCCGACCCGAGTTCGAATCTCACAAGGGAAATAGTAGCCTTTTGTCCAATTATCTAGTTTATTGTTTTTATTGTTTTTTTAAATACTGTTTTTACAACTACACACTTTTTGTTCTGTTAAAATTTTGTCCGTGAGATAATAAAACGTTTTATTTAATATTAAAATCCTTCACCATCATCACACTTTAACACAATTTAACAAAAAGTTTTAAATAATCGTGCACATAATAATCAATTGGTAAAGTTTTCAAAATAACCATTCCTTTATTACCCATAATTTTTAAATGTAACTCGGAGCACTTAAAACACGACCGATTACATTCAAAACCGTAGAAAACCTATAGAAAAGTGAAATTTTAGAAATTTATCAAACATTTTATAACCAATAAAATGTATAAATTAAAAAAGTTTTGAAAAAAATTGTGTTTGTTTTTTACAATAAAATTTAACAAAAACATAAAAAAAAAGTTAAATTTTCGGGATAGAAATTGTTGTAGGCTACAGTTATTAGTTGCTGCTTTTTTACTGTGACAACCATTAATTTTTATAATAATAATTATTCACTTTAAGAGAGTATAGTTTTACCTATTATATTATAAATTTTATTTGACAAATCGTTATTATGTATAAAACATAGGTTATTAATTATTAAACAGACGTCATACTAGGTATACTTTAATATGCATTAATTTAAAATCCTTGAATTAAATTTAATAATTACATGTAATTATTAAACAAAATCCACAATGTTGTTAAACAAATCTATGTTTTTAATCGAGCATAAAAATAATATTTTCTTTATTTAGTAATACTAACGCAGCATTTAAAAAATATAAATTGGACCATAGAAATCGTATATAATAATAATAAACCATGAATACTTATTAATATACAACAAATGTCATAAAAGTAAAACCAACTCAAATAAATTTTTACACGGTTATAAAACCAAAGTACCAATTGTAGTTGGAACGTGAAAGGATCAATTACTTTATTAAATATTAAAGGTTTAAAGGTGCATGGATATTATTAACCACTTAATTGAAGTAATCGTTAATATGTAAAAAAGAGTCTATTTTATGAAGATCTCGATACACAGGGAGCAATTATCCCCACCAAGTTTTAACAAATATTGAATAATCCACCGGCTATCAGTTTAAATTAAGTACTTATAGAGTTAAGTGAGATTGTATCAATGTTAAATGTATTGAAAAGCGTAATTAAGAATTTTTAATATTTGTGGTTAAGTTTTAACAATCTTTAAATTAAAGTTAAAGACTAATTTCTTAAAATGCAGTTACCTGTTAAAGTTGGAATTGCGGCCGGATCCGCATTCGTATTTTTTCTTACTGTGGGTTTTGTGGTTTTTCCCAAAATGATTACCAGTCAAGTAAAAAAAGTAAGTATGTTATTTATTTGTGGATAATTATAATAGTACAAGAGCCGGCAATATTAAAGTGCATGTGATCATTCCTAGAGTTAAGAAATTTTTAAACGTTAAATGCTGAACTCTTAAAAATGTTATTGGTAATGAATTTTTATCTGTTGAATAAGTTTGGTTGGAGCATCGAATTATTTTTGCTGGAATTTATAAAAGGTGGTGACAATGCCCAGTTACAAAAACTCTTCGTACATGTTAGTTGTAGCAGACAAAAAATCAGTTGCTGAAAAAATATCATAATTGCAACTAGACTAGTTTAGTTGTTAGGAAGGTGTATTGTGTAAAAGTATTTTTAAATTATTCCAGTTGCCAAACTCGCTATCAAATCAAATTGTTGCCCTTTAAAACTTAATTAGATACACATCTCACAGGGTGTCACAAATTTCGGGGAAAAAATGTTGCTCAAAATAAAATCTTAATAAAAATGTTGTTGTTATTAAAGAGTCAACCAAAAGTAAAAATCAGACAAAGTTCGAGAGAAAATCATATCCAAAGAGTTATCTAACAACTAGTAGAATTTACTCAAAAAAATTTTGCTGATTCTTCCAACAATAGTGTCACAACATGAGAAATGAATATAGCCCACATGCATATAGGGGCTATACAAAGTTAATGGAAAATCCAGAAAATGGTGAAAATGTTTAAAACTAAAGCTTTTCCAAATATTGTATGTCCATTCTGAACCGTTTTTTCTGTCATGGTCTTTTTGATAGAAAATCGGGAATGATTAAAGATCTTTTTGTAGTAATTTAAAAAAAAATGGTCAAACAATTTACAGTGACTTTCAAGGAACTTGGCTATTTTCTTAGTCATAAATTTACAATGTTTTGGTGCTGCTAAAGTAAATTTAAATATTTTAGTATAACTGTTTAATTAGGAGAGTAAATAATAAAGAATTGCAAGAGAAGTTCAAATCGTTATTTTCTTGTTTAATGATTTTGTAAAATTTTATCTGGGGGGTTAAGCGTATGGAAGGGAAAGAGAAAGGAAGGGGAAGAAAAAATCTAAGATTGGTAATTAAAAAATATATTTCTTTAATTTTTTTTTAAATAATTCTAAGCCTAAGGAGGTTGAACCCCCGAACCCACATAGACACGCCAGTGTATGTTATGAGCAGTCGAATAAATATTAATTCTTCAGAAATTTTATTTTGAAAAATTATGCAAAATATTCGAAAAAGTCGGCATTTTAATAAAAATTATTTAAAATTAAAATATACTATTAATGGTTTCTGCAGGCCCAAAAAAAAATCTGCCTAAAAAAGTTTAGATTTGGCCCATATCTATTAAAGTTTTAATATTTAATATCTTTAGTACGAATTTATATTTTTAGTTGACCTACAATGACTACCTACCTATATATAAATTAAATTTGTCCATTAATAAAAAAAACAAATAATTATTCCATTATAATAATGCGAACTATTTATTATCCCTTCTTAGTACAATCAATCAATGATCCAGTTTAAATCGAGCATTTGTTAAGTTCACAATACAAAAATCGTCCTTCATTTTAATGAAATCTAGAAAGGCTAAAGATTTTTTGTTTTTTGCTTTTCCGAATTTAAAGTTTATCGAGCTTGGTTACAGCGGACTTAAATTTTTAAATAAAACAAGAAAAAAACCTAAAACCAAGAAAATGAATACTCCAATAAAAGTGATAATAGGCAGCGCTATAGCGTTTTTATTTGTAACGAGTTTTGGAAATTTCATTTTTCCAAAAGTGATCAAATCAAAAATTAAAGACGTAAGTATGTAGATTATAATAGGTAATCTAATATTATAAGCAACTTGTTTGTAAACTTATATTAATTAGGTTTTGTTAAAATGAGTGTTTTAAAGAAACTTTTTAACAATGAAATAAATAAGTTTATTTATTTACTAAATAAATAGACAGTTTATTATCAATATATAAAAACGAGATTTTGTTTATTTTGTTACTTAAAAATTTTGGCATCATAAAATTTATTTATCAAGCTTTGGGATTTTTCCTTACGTGTGGTTTGTATAAAAAATATTGTTTCTATTTATTTTTCATAACTGGCTTGCACCGTAAATTAATCCTTGTTTAAATACCTCTAAACTACTATTAAAATAAACCCCCAATTTCGGTGGTTTAAATTACTTTAATCCACTGTTAACTATTAACTATTTATAACCTCAAAAGTACTAGTCATCGAAATTCAAGATCTTTTTTTTTCAAAATAATTATTTATTGACATCTTTAGCAAATCCAATAACTATAGTTATAGGTAAAGAGGTCAGCAACTCTATAATGAGTCACTACTATAAACCAGAAATGTATAATAGAAATAGTATTTGGAATTTGGAAAAGAAGGTTTCCAGTGTTGGCATATGGCTTAAGATTAAAACTAGATATAGTTTTGTCCATTATTCCAGCTGCAGCTGTACTACATAATATTGCTAGAGACATGAATAAACCAGAGCCGCCATTACCTGATGATATTAATACCATGAACTGTTGTTACAAGATCGCTGTTAATTTATACTTATTTAAAATTAAAAAAAGTAAACTTGACCCTTCTTGTTTATTATTATAATACATATATTAAGTTTTTCTTTTTCTTCTAAAATTTTTAAATCCAAAACAGTAATTTCTTTTCTCGATTTTTATGTAAGAATGTCATATTCTCGCACGCAAAATCGTTCAAGAATGAAGCTCATTCTTAAACGATTTTTGGTAACATTTAGTTTTTAAGTATTGGTACCCCCAAAATGTCAAACTGTTTAATAACCTCAAATTCATTACTTTTAGGAATATTTATAATAGCTTTGTTTGTTATCCTGCACTAGTGCAACCTGAACTACACTTTTATTGAAAATGAAGCCTTTATTATTGTTTTGTTATATTATTGTTTATGTGAAAAAGTGCAGTTCAGTTGTACTTGTGCAGGATAACAAATATTGACAAATAAATTTATTTAATTAATGAGCCAAACAGGTCAATCAAACTATATATTATTGGAAATATTATATACCCACAGTACACAAAACACAAAACTACTATAAATTAATCACTAGCACAATTGTTATAAACTTTTATTGTAATGTTCAGTGTTGCTTGTAAAACCTCCTGTGACATTTTTCACTGCTAAAAGTAAACACAATTGTTCAAAAATATCAGAAAACATTAAAAAATAATACAATACTTACACAAAACCTTATTATCCAGTTGACAAATACAGACAGATTATTAATAAATAGTAAATAAACATAAATCTACCTGTCCATGCAACTGTCATTTTGTGTTGCCAACTGACATTTTGCGAGAAAAATCCCCCAACTAACAACGACCACAAAACATTTAAAAAAACCTAAATAAAAGTTAAAATCGAGAAAATAGTATAAATCACACGTTGCAGAAGGTTATTCTCGCACTCATTCGTTCGTCCACTCGCTCCTTCGTCGCTCGAGGCCAAATTTCGAATTCGTGCGAGAATATGTGGCCTTCTGCAACTTGTACTTTAATATACTATTTCATCCTTTTTATTTTTAATTTCCTGCTCTAATTGTTTTAGCCCTATCTGTCTCTTTGTTTCCAATAATACCTTTGTATCCACAAGATTAATTAAATGATTTTTTTTAATTTTCTGAAAAATTTGAGGAGCGACCCCTTTTTTTTCAGGTTCTGTATCCATATTATTCTCTCTTACCATCAACTGAATCGGTCCTACATGAAATAGAATCGAACCACAGATGATAAAGAGTCGAATCACAGATTATAAAGAATCGAACTCTTAACAACAAAATATATTTGGGTCACAAATAAGTTTGAAGTTAGTTATTAGCACCAATCTTTTCAATTTTTTAGTCAAATTCCCTAGATCTATAGTTAAATTTTAAACCATAGTAAAAAAATCACGGTGCAAGATTTTGGACACTAATCTCCTGTTACCTTTTAACTTGTCAGTTTATTTAACTGATCAGTTAGAGAAAACGGTGCAAGTGGCCACTAATGACACTTAGTGATCTTTTAGATACGCATTCACAAGCACTGGCTTTATGGCGCTTTAGTCACGTACTGAAGTTTTAAGTTAGTTGACAGTTGTCAAATTTCATAAAATACAAAATAAAGTTCCCTAATACTAAATGTGAAAATAGTTTTATCTTAACACAAAAATACAAAAGGTATAAATAGTTTCTTAACGCCAATATTTAAAAAGTTATATGTAGGTACTTTTGTAATAACGGTTAGTAACTAACCTTTTGATTTCGCCGGCAGCACTATCTTATATAAGACTGTGACCGGCAGTAAACCAGTAAATTTCGAATGGAGTCTCCACTGTGAAGTGCCCATAAAACATTATCTTTACTTACACAATGAAAAACTTAAGGGATAAATTTCAATTCACACAGAAAAATTTTACATTTGCCGCCGGCAATACAGATGTCGCTCTATACAATTATTTAATTGAAATCATTTTTGGATAATATTAAGTATTTTTCGTAGAAAAAGTATAGTATGCCATTCGTTTATAATTTTTTTAGACACTCATTTAATTAAGCTTTCGCTCGTGCCTAAATTTAATTCGTGACTAAAATGGCGTTCATTAAAGTTTATTAGTAAAAACAGAAAAACAATTAAACGTAGTGTTTTTGAAATATTTACAAAAATAATTTATTATTACCATTTTAATCAGAAGAAAAATACTACCAATTTGCTAATTTAACCGACTTTGTAGCTCCAATAATGACGGAGATATTTAAAACATACTTAACCTATTTTAAAATTATAAAATAAATGATACAGACAATATTAAAAGTAAAATATTACAAGAAGTTGTCTAAGTATTACTAAATAAAAATCTAGGTAGGTAATTTTAATGCCTAATGGGTTTTATTCAATTTTTAATATTTTTAATAGTTTTTTTTTCATTTATGCTTCTGTTGTCAATTAAGTTATTTTTTTAATTAGGATAGTAATTTTATATGTTAATA